GGGGGGGGGGGGGGAAGGTTTGAACCCCAAAACCCACCCCTTGTGTGCGCTAACGAATGGTATTTACAAAAATTTTGGGTTCAAGGTCTATAAAGAACCTATTTTAATGTTGTGTTCGACCCTACCTAAAACCTGCACTAGATGATGATTCGTGTGTATTTTCACTGTCGCATCGTGTTATTATCGAAATAGTGGTTTCTAGATTGACTTCTTTGCATGCATTTATTTTGGTTTTAAATACTCACAATCATTATGTCCTGGGTTGTGATCGCCCTTTCCGCCTCGATGAAATTTCAACAAGCTGGTACCAGGATGGCTCTGAGAACAATGCCTACCTGCATTATTGTTCCTAGTGCCATCTTCGTGGACATTTGATGATGCACCGTGCCATAAATTCGATAAAAACTGTGATCCGGCCAATCGAAGGCCGCCGACTCCGCTACCAAAACTACTGGTTGCTGGCACAGATTCAAACTTTTCGTTGGATATAGGAGAGGTTGGTGCCGAAGAAGAGTTGCAACTCGAGGCGGTTGGTTTTACATCTCTGGCTTCGGAAGTACTCACACCCACATAACTTGCACCATTCTGACAACTTAACCTTTGTTCATATTCAAGTCTCTTTTTTATCCGATCATCCAAAGCTTTCTGCCACTCGATATGTGCAGCCTCTAAAACGCTTGAACTTTCATTGCCACGTATAAAATCCAAAGATATCACCGGCCAGGCATCCAATGTTTGCACAGCTTTTGAATTACCTTCATCCATGCCAGGAGGATTGATTTCACCTTTGGCTTTTATATTTCTCAAATTTCGATCATAGTTAACACGTTTAAAACGATTAGCATTGTCATCATGCACACTTTTCTTTCTAGCCATACGTAAGTACCTCTTTATTGTATCACTGACAGACTGCGAAACATCTTCGTTATCTATGGAGCTCTTGCGACGATGATGTTGACCTCCTGCAGAAGCCGTCGAAAAACCTTTTTCCGCTTCGTCATCGGTTGCACCAGGAGTACCAATCGTCGAAGTACTTAATGCTGCCTCCTCCCGTTTTTGCTCTTTATATTCCTCAGCAAGGCGTTTTATTTCCTGCAATGGTACGAAATTCGTCTGAGTACCACACGAATTAAAATGCTTTTCAATTGGATGCTCTTTAGCACGGCGTGGCGGTGCGCTATTTTTGTTGGCGCTGCATAAACCTGGTAGATCGAGCGTACTTGGCGGCTTCCGTTGACGAGGCGCCGGCGTGGGTGATACAATAACGCTACTGACGTACTTACTAGCAGTGCGTAGGTGTTTTTTGGGAGTGGTCCCAGTTGTTATTATTGTTGGTGTAGTAGGTTCTACACTCGAAGTGCTTTGATCTTTGCCTCGAGCTACTTCATAAACGTCTGGATCCTTTCCACCATCTCCTAACCTAGTGGCAGCGCCGGCTCCAGAACCAAAGTGCGTTAGACTAGACAGTGATGATGAATGCTTAAGTTTCGATCGTGGATTCTTCAACGGCGGGGTGGAATGTTTACTCAAAACACGATGCAATTGTTGCTTTTTAAGAGAATTGTACACTTGTTTTAATAAAGCCTTATCCTCGAGAATCGCTGGCGTAATATTTTCAGGTGGTATTGTAAATATATTTGTTGTTACACTGCGGGATAGCATTCGTAATCGCTCCAATAGTTGGTCTATTTCATTTAGCTGTTGAAGGCTTTTAGGAAGCTGGGGACTCAAAAAAACAGGTCCCATCGAAGTGTTATTTCCAGTGCTTGTGAAGGAATTCCCGGATTTACCTGGGCGACGTGCGCTTGGTGAAGCTGTCTGATCAGGACGAACCGTCTTAGAACTAAGTAACGTGGTTGTTTTATATGCATCACCAAGTTTTAAATAGGATTGTAAGATGTCAATTATTTGGTCAGCGTTGTTAGCCTCTAGCTGTTCCAAAGCATCAATTGTAGGCGGCTCCTTTTGTCCAGTATGTTGCAGCAAGTGTTTTAGGCGCCGTTTTGAGTTACGCACAGCCCCAGGATAAGACGATTTGCGACGCCATAATATAAAACGAGATTCATTGGCGCAAACTTGTTGGAAATGTGTTTCGATCTTTAGTATATCTTCTTTGCGGTTTTGAGCCCCATCTGGAATCAGTTTACGACCAGCGTCAGTCATATATTTCCACGTTTTCCTTGTAAGCAACCATCGTTCTCGTTTTTTCTCCTTCTCTTTGATTGTGGGACGCCGGCGAACAGCCTGGGGTGATGGAGCGCTTACTGCGAATGTTGGTAGTTTCACAGCAGCATCTGTTGGCGTTACTTGCCAAGTTGCGAAAATCGGCGTTGCCGTCCTCGTCGCCAAATCAGGGGTTGATTGCTTATCGCTGATCCCAAGGTGTAGCTCATTAAGGGCATCGTCCAGTGGGCCAGAGCGTTTCTTCACTATTTGAACCGGCCGCCGCAATGTAGCGCCACTTGTTTGAGCCATTCCCGTGTCTTTGTTATCATCCATCTCAAATTTAAAACAGATAAAATAGCCAGCAGATTTAGGGATGAGCCAGACTTCAATGTTATATTCTTAACAACGAACTGTCAGAGATATTCTGTTAAAACAAAATGGAGTAATATAGAATATTATTAGTACATACTTTTTAACAATGTGTGCATATACAAACAAATATTTTTTGTATTTCTCTGTAAGTACATATCGTCGGCTGAGTGGAAGATCGACCTAAGTATCTCGGCAGCCAGTTCGAAAACATCCTATCTCAGAAAACTTTTCATGAACGCCCAATTTCAAATCTTTATTCGAAAACGCTATATTCCAACATATTTTCAATATATTTTCAGTTGAGATAGGACGTTCTTCAACCAAATCCTGAAGTAGAGCGTTCTTGAAAAGTTTTCTGAGATAGGATGTTTTCGAACTGGCTGCCGAGATACTTAGGTCGATCTTCCACTGGAGGCGATCGTAGCGCTGCGAAAAGTAAAATTTAGGTTAAAATAAATTAACTCTAACGAAAAATTTGAAAACAAGTTTTGTTAAAAAGTTTTTTTGTTCATTTTAATCTTCAATCATATCTTTTTTAGGTTTTCACAAGATTATTTATAACCAAGGCTGGAACATCTAAGCAAATGCCTGAAAAAGCTTATTATGTATATGTCTGGCAATTTTGTTTGTTTTTGCATACATTCGACTTGCAGCTTATTTTGCATACATGACAACATTTAATACATTTCGAGGAAAAAAACGATAGGAACATGAAACTAGGGGAATTAATACATACACTGAGGGAAAAAAATTTTAGAATTAAAAAAACGTGCTAAATTTGAAAAAATAAGCATATGAAAGAGCACCAACCAAACTCATTTTAAATATGAGTATATACGTTATAAAGTATGTGGTTGTGAAGTGCATAGATGCTTTTTCGTAATTAAGAAGAAAAAAATTTAATTTTATGTTCCGTCGATGGTAATTGAACCCGGACCCTCTTGGCGTCTTTGCACACTCAGCTACAGCCATACATATAAATGTGTTTTCAAATGTTGAGTTTGAATCAACATCACAGCGCGCGATTAGTGCATTCCCTGTAGGGAAAATCTCTAGTTTTGAACTGTTGCGCTTCTAGTACATTTAGAACCACTACTAGTTCGCGATAAATCTCTTTTGCATGCAAACAACTGGCGAGTTTAACACAGCGATGTCATAGGAATTGGAAATTGTCCCCCGCTGCATTACCTTTTCTATAGTTCAGAACCAGTCCTAAATTCGACATATGGGATCTAGTTCGCTTTTCACCCCATTTTCTATAGTTTCGAACCAGTTGTAAACGAAACAAGTAAGAAAGTCTAAGTTCGGGCGGAGCCGAACATTAAATACCCGGCGCAAGTATTAAATATATGTTTTCCACCTTTCCGAAAGCTACCGCTACATGATAAGCCGGGGTGTATACATTTTAAGTAAATTAGCGTCCTTAAATTTCGAAATATTGCAGTTTCAAGCATATCTGAAATTTACCGTTATATGAAAAGCGGCCTCAATTTTAGTCCGATTTCAACAATTTTCAACGGTTTGCTTTTATGTGGCAAGCACAATAACCATACCGAGCTTGGTACAAATTGCTAGAACGGTTAGCGAGATACATATATGTGATCACAAGTGGGCGGTGCTACGCCCATTTTCCAAAATTTTGTCATAAACGTATTTCTTGGTAAAGAATTGTTGCAATCATCAATTTTGAATAAATTAGCTTCAATATTTACTGATTTATCGAAGATTTTGTATTTCTCGAAATTACCGTT